GAGTTTGAACCGCCAGCCTTCTGGTTAGCAGTCAAGTGCCTTAGGCACTACCCTACCAGAGCTCCTAATTCTTCTGTAGGTCTTTTTTATTCATTATCCAGCTCTCATATGCATTTGAGGCTATTTGAAAATACCATGGCTTAGGTCAGGCACACCTTAGTCTTCAAAGTGACATCTTTGCTCACCACTTTGAAGAGGTATTTTGCAGCAAATTTGCCCAATGTAGTACGTTGTTTGATTTCTTGACTTCTGCTTCCATGGGTGTTGATTGTGGGTCTAAGTAAAATGAAATCCTTGAAACATCAGTATTTCCTTCATTATCATGATGTTGCTTATTGATCCAGTTGTTGGGATTTTTGTTTTCAGTATTAATGATATTGTTTGTTAATTTCTGCATTCTGTTGCATCACCTTTCTTTGGAATAGGTCCAGATATTGATCTCTTCCTGTCAGTTAACCTGCTACCTAACTTCCAAATTTCTTGGCATAAATAAATGAGCATTTCCAGCATTTTGTCAGTTTCTTGAAATAGCTCAGTTAGTATTCTGTCGATTTTTGGAGCCTTATTTTTCACCAATGACCTCAGTGCAGCTTGAACTTCTTCCTTCAGTGCCATTGATTATATGCTACCTCCTGAACATTGACCAATACTTTTTGTTATAGTGACTGACTATGTATTCCTTACATTGTCTTTTGATGCTTCCTGTGTTGTTCAAAATTTTGTCTGCAAATACTGGGACAGGAATCTTAGCCCATTATATGTTAGCTTCCTAGAAACTGGAGGTACACAAAAATTGAATTGAGTTCACCTTCATTCCTGGCCCACCCCTCCCCAAGTCTGTCATTCTCAAGGTGCTTGATATCATCTGAACCTCCAGCTGATTGTCCTCATGCTATTGATTTCATTCAGTGTTTCTGGTGTTTACATACACACACGCCAGTTATTGGACTCTACTGTGGCAACGAAGACAGGGTGTCTGAACCTAACTGCACCTTATCTTACTCTGAGGATGTTGGATCTGCATGGGCAATAATTATCTTTTTCTAGATCTTTGGGATCAAACCTTTACTGCTATACTACTCTAAACCATCCGCTGTACTAGTACTAGAGATATAATAGATATAAGTTAAGTACAGCTAGGGAGAATGATCAAGATCTTTCTCATCAAAACACTTCAGAACTTTATTAAGGACACAAGGAAAGGTAACAACAGAGAGAAAGTGGGAAGAGAGTTGTTACATTTTTGGGGATTCTAATGATTGTCATGAAACAAAATGTGTATGAACTGTTAAGTGGAAAATGAAACTGCTGTGTAAAATTTCATGCAAATCACAAAAAAGTTTACACACACATAAAAAAAAAAAAACTTCAGAAGCAAAAATAGAAAAGCCATGCACTCTTTGGCACATCAAAGAAAACCATAACTATAACAGCAACTAAGTTGGCTCAGTACCTTGGAGAGGTTTCTGATGTTCTAAGGAAAATGCACAACACCCCTTTCCCCCTTCTACGTCTAAGAGTGTTGTGTTGTGTTTGTGAAAACACTGAACTATGCCCTCCATTTATTTCACCATTGAACATCCAGCACTAAAGGAGTAAAGGGGACACAGAGGCTGACAATGAGTTGCAAATAATAACCAATAGTACCTACCCACTCTACCCACTCTGCTTAAAACCCCAAGGAGAAAGTGAGCTTTATGAATATGATTCTGTAAAACTGAAAGCTTTGACAAGAGTCAGTAATGGATGGATGAGGCTCTAAATAGTGAAAATGTGTATATGTGTGTGTGTGTGTGTGTGTTATACTCATGTTTGACTGAAATGACAGTGTCTTAACCCTTTTGAACATTGCATCTCATTCCCTCTTGCCTAGTTAAAGACCTTGTTCATCATTTATCTCCCTTCTCCTGGGCGTCACCAATTTTCCTCCTTCTACTGGATCTTTCAAATCAACAAAAAGCATGCTACTATTGACCTCAACTTGTTTGATCACTCAGCATTTAATGCAGCTCACCAATCCCTGTGTCTTGAAATATTCTCATTTGGCCTCCAGAACAAAACAATCATTTTCCCCTACCCTATTAACCACTCCTTCTCAGTATCTTTTGCTAGATTATCCTTCCTCTTGAAAAATCTCTGACTGTTAGAACTTCAGGACTCAGTC